TAATTGTTTGTTTATCGAGAGAAACTATTCCTTAGCCCAAATACCGATGTTTCCTAGTTCAGGCACTCAGGTCAGGGACAGACTTAAAGAAACGCTTTTGCTTTGCGTTCCACGATCACTCTGCACTCGGAGACCCCAGCCTCCTCCCCGCAGCGGCCTTCATGGAATTCTAACTTGTGTGGAAGCCTGTCCAGCTGCTGGGACGCTGCAGTGATGGCTCCCCAAGCAGAGCCTCAGACGCAGGGCCAGAGCCCCGTGAGCTCCGTCAGTTCTGGAGGCACAGCGGTGCTTCCCTGCACCACCAGCGCCTTCCTGATGGGCCCGGCCGGGCCTGATGTCCTTGGAAGTCTACCGGCACCACTGCCTCTTACGACGTGTTCATTCCACAGAGTATTCCTCGCTGGGAATGACTGCTCTTTCTCATGGGTAATTTAGCTGTTGCCCACGCAGAGCTGCGGGATGAGCATTGTCTGCACATGATTCCCCACGTGCAGCCTGGATGCAGTCTGAGGGTTCTTGGACCAGGCAGACATCCTGCTTCTCATGAAAATCCCTCGCCGCCCAGTTAGCATCCACTTCCAGCTGCTGCTGACCCGGCTCTGCTGATGGCACAGCAGTGTGTTCTATGCCAGCCCTCCCTCTGCACTGCCCCCAGGCTTTCCGCGTCCTTCCTTCCCCCTCGTGTTATTAAAAAAGACGATGTGACTAGCTCTTAGTTATCAAACCTCAGTGTGCACAAAGCTAGGGTGCTTTCTTATGCTTGTTTATTTTGGAAAAGACATGGAATAAAATGGTAAAGTGGCCGTTTGAGTGTCACTGTTCATCTTTTATAAAAAACATTTTTATTGATTTCAGAGAGGGAGGGAGAAATATGAAGAGAATCATGGATTGGCTACCTCCTACACGCCCCTGACTGGGGATTGAGCCTGCATGTACCCTGACCAGGAATCAAACAGTGACCTCCTGGTTCATAGATCCATGTTCAACCACTGAGCAACACTGGCCAGGCTGTCATTGACTTATGTTTTAAGTTTGTAATATGCAGTTGAGGATTTGGGAATAATAAATCAGCTTCTTTTCTGTTAAGTACTTTTAAAGCTTTTTAATTTTAGATTCGAGTGATTTTATTATTTATGTAGGTTTTCCTGCTTTAATGTGGTTTTAGGTTCATGCAAAATGGGTTTTGGACACTGATGTGTTCAACGAATGGATGAATGAGGAGGACTATGAGGTGGATGAGAACAGGAAGCCCGTGAGTTTTCGACAGCGAATTTCCACAAAGAATGAAGAGGTATTTGGTTTGGCACCATTTTACTCCACTTGCGTTTCTTCTTTCTTTGCCTAAACGTTCTCAGATATTCATGGGTAAACTGTCACAGGAGCATCAGCCATCGAGTACATATCGTAGGAGAGTGACTACCATCTCAGGAGCTGGCACCTCCACAGAAGCCATGCACACCTCGGGGTCATTAAGATGGAGTGGCCGTGCGGTGTGACAGCTGACTGTGTTCTCTAGAGCGGAGTTTTCATTCTGATGTTCCACGTAACATCCCGGGGCCATTTAACTGCGGTGTTGGTTTCCCGAGGGCAGGCTCACTCAGTTCTGATGTTTTGATGGCTTTACTCACATGCAGGGGGCAGTAGAGAGCATCGCCGTCAGGGTCTCGGGGACAGTTGAGTCCTTTGTGAGGTGGGAAGACTTGTGCTGACTGCTCTCGTCCCTCTAAGAAGCCACCCCTTTCACACGTGCCCATGTTCCTTCCGGGCCCACTGCGGGCGGTGTGTCCCCAGACAGCCTGCGCTGAGAAGGCAGCTTCCCTGCGTCTTACTGGGTGTGTGGCAGCCTTAGGCCGAGACCTGCGATTCCAGTCCTTTTCAGGGGGTTTGCTTTTTATTTAAGTTTTTTTAAATCTTTGAGGCAATTATACCTTTAACCATTTGCTTAGAAAGTGCAGGTCTTTCATACTATCTTCAGCCTGTTTTTTATTTCCTCTGTGTTCCTTATTTTCAAGAATATTTAAAAATTAGTGTTTTTTCATATTGTTTCATTTTTATTTTTTATTTTTTTTAATATATTTTATTGATTTTGTACAGAGAGGAAGGGAGAGAGTTAGAAATATTGATTTTTTTTTTAATTGATTTTGTACAGAGAAGAAGAGAGAGAGAGAGAGAGCCAGAAACATCGATGAGAGAGAGTCATCAATCAGCTGCCTCTTGCACACCCCCTACTGGGGATATGCCCGCAACCAAGGTACATGCCCTTGACCGGAATCGAACCCGGGACCCTTCAGTCCCCAAGCCGACGCTCTATCCATTGAGCCAAACCGGTCTCGGCCATATTGTTTCATTTTTAGTTTGCTTTGGAATATCACTTTATTTTTTGTTTTGGCCTCCTCTAATATGTTTACATATTTGTTTTCCCTTATTGCATTTCAAACTGAATCTTTGTGCCATTGGGAATATTCTAATTTCCGTATCACATTTTTTTTTTAATATATTTTTATTGATTTTGTACAGAGAGGAAGGGAGAGCGATAGAGAGTTAGAAACATCGATGAGAGAGAGTCATCGATCAACTGCCTCTTGCACACCCCCTACTGGGGATATGCCCGCAACCAAGGTACATGCCCTTGACCGGAATCGAACCCAGGACCCTCAGTCCCCAAGCCAACGCTCTATCCATTGAGCCAAACCGGTCTCGGCCGTATCACATTTTTGACCTGTCCTGTCCTATCCACCCCTGTATTGATTTAGATGGGTTTTACTTATTCACTCGTCTTTAGGGGGGATTATATAAAATTGATTAATATGCCTTTAAAAACCTTAATGTCAGATTTACATACTGATCAAAGGCGTGTGCAGTTTAGGTTTCTCACAGACTTCCCTGTGGGCTCTGAGGATGCTCAGGTCCCTCCTGAGGCGGTAGAGCTGCTGAAAGGACACCTTGGTGCAGGGGTGTGAGCGGCGAGGATATGGAAGTCTCACCGATATTGTAGCTCTGCTCTTTTGGGAGCGAGGGACACCTCAGGTCCAATTCTTTGGGTCCTTTCGGGGCTTCTTCATTATTCTGTCTCGTTAGATTGGCAGTGAGCATCTGAGATCTGTGCCCTGCACTCTGGTGACCTCCCTTGTTAGCTGGGATAGTTGTTCTGTGGATTCTTGAAGTTTAATGCCACCTGCAAGTTGGGATAGTTTTATAGGTTGACTTTGCGATCTTATTTCACATCTTTTGTATCAGAGTTATCTTTTTATTTTCTGATGAATTATAAGTAGTTTCTGGCACATTTCCCCAAGCTTATTCAGCCTATCTTTGTATTTTATTAATTTAATAACACGTTCTATATTTTCTACTAATTATTGGACATGGTTTTTCTACCTTAAGCCCCGGCTGTGGGCAGGGTAGTTTTCTCGTGGGGGTGGGCACTGTGCTCTGCAGCGAGGTGGAGTCCTGAGGCTGGTGCTGGCGTTTCCCTGGGGGATGTGGCATGTGACGTTCACAAGTCTCGGGACTGCTGTGGCCATGAGGCTCGTGGAGTGGCCTCATTTGCTCTGAGCTCGTGTGCTTGTGAAAAGGCACTTTGGGGTAAGGGCTTGTAGAAACGGAGGAGTCGGCCACGCTGGCTGATGCTCATCTCCACTTTCCTCTTCCTAGCCAGTCCGAAGTCCCGAAAGGAGAGACAGGAAGGCATCAGCTAATACCCGGAAGCGGAAGCACTCGCCCTCCCCGCCGCCCCCCACGCCCACAGAGTCGCGGAAGAAGAGCGGGAAGAAAGGGTAAGCACTGCAGCCTGGCCGCCCATCCCGCAGGCTCCCCTGGGCTCGTGCTCACAGCAAGGCAAGCTCCTCCCTAGGCTTCCTTCCTAGGAGGCGTGTTGAGAATGTCCCTGAAGGGCTAAGACATTCTGTTCATCATGGTTAATGTCGGTGTCTCTGATTTTGTCACCTGTCCCATTTATGACCAAAATGACTCGTACAGGACATGAACCTGTGACTTAAGTCCTTGTATAGTGCATGGCCTGAAGTAGATACTTAATAAATGGTAGATAATACTTAATAATTTCAATAGTTAGCTCAAGATATTTTGATAACAGTTGTAAATAACACTCCTGGACCAACTATAGTCATAAAAATGATTTCATTATTTTCTCAAGCTGCATGTATGTATATATTATGAAGACCTTACCAAGGACATGGAAGACTCAATATACAATAGACCCAAGTTAATACCGTAAAAGTAGGCTTCTCTTCAGGGATTATTGAGGGTAAATTTATTTCTTAAATATCGGATCTGAGGGGTTTTTTTTGTTTGTTTTTTGATACATTTTATTGATTTTTTACAGAGAGGAAAGCTAGAAAGAGAGAGAGAGAGAGCAAGAAATGTCGATGAGAGAGAAACATCGACCAGCTGCCTCTTGTACAACCCCCACCGGGGATGAGCCCGCAACCAAGATACATGCCCTTGACCGGAATTGAACCTGGGACCTTTCAATCCACAGGCCGATGCTCTACCACTGAGCCAAACCGATTTCGGCTCGGATCTTAGTCTTGATGTTCGATATCTCGGACCCACCTGAGATCCCGCGAAGAAAGCTTGGGGTCCATGTGCTCCTCTCCCAGTTGGGGGCTAAGCGGGGTCCAGGATCCTCTGGTCACTGAACCAAAATGCAACCACCTAGACCCTGTGGTCTGGACTCTCGGAGTTTTATTTCTTGTGCCTTTGTCCCTTTCTCTGTATGGCACGTGGATGCATTAGGTAATGGTTTCTGTTCTGTGTCCTCTTTAATTCCTCAAGGTAAGGAATCATCCCATTCTTGTTTGAACTTCCAAATGCATTCTGGCATGTTTTAGTTTTAACAATAAATACTGACTTGATTGAGTTGGAGAAAGAGCAATGACAGTTTTTACAAAAAGCATTAGTACCAGAATAGTACCATCCTAAGTGATTCTGCTTTGTACCTCCTGGTATTTGAATGACATAAACAGCAAGGAAATAGTGTTTTATATCTCTGACCAAACATCTTATGTAAATTACTGCTTATGACCTGAGCAATGTATGTTGTCACATTTCCATAGCAGATGTTCTCTCTTACACCAGCTTTCTTAGGGTGTGGTCTGCAATTTGTATAGTAGGATTTTGTGTCTGTTTTGTCTTTTTTTAAATTTTTTTTATTGATTTCAGAGAGGAAGGGAGAGGGAGAGAGAGCTAGAACCACCAATGAGAAACATCCATCAGCTGCCTCCTGCACACCCCCTACTGGGGATGTGCCTGCAACCAATGTACATGCCCTTGATAGGAATTGAACCTGGGACCCTTGAGTCTGTAGGCTGACGCTCTATCCACTGAGCCACATCAGCCAGGGCTTGTGTCTGTTTTTATACTAGTAACTATATTTTCCTTTTGGCTATACTTTGGGGATGTATCTAATTTGATTTCACTTGTCTTTTAAGGTGACTCTGGGCATAGATCCTAACTACAATAAAGGTGAAGCCTTTAAAATTGCTTGCTATAATGGCCTTGTTTATTTTTCACATGCTCTTGTCTGTTTTAGCCAAGCTGGTCTCTATGGGAAGCGCAGGAGTCAGAAAGAGGAGGAGGAACAGGAAGACCTCACCAAGGACATGGAGGACCCCACGCCTGTGCCCAACGTCGAGGAAGTGGTGCTCCCCAAAAACGGTGTGTGCTCTGCTGCGGCCTGAGGGGTGGGCACGCATGAGGCATCTCGGCCCTGCCCTCGGCTGAGCTCTGTGCCCCGCCTCTCAGCTCTCAGTTCGACTGGATTCCCCTCTAATGTCCACCTTCACGCAGCTCCTCCTTCCCCGACTTCTGGTACTTTTTGTTTATCGAGAATACAGTGACCAAATGTCTGAATTTAATACTATTTTAAAGTTCCTGTTTTAAAAACCCCAGCACTATATGGATGAGGAACAGCGGAGTGTTTCCACTTGCTGGTTACTGGGCAGAGGATGTGTTGTGCCCTCTGACTGCCTGTGGGTCTGGAGAGTGTCCTTCCCTCCTGCTCCCTTGTTCTCTTCAGGCGCTTTGAAGCTCTGCTGCTCTTCAGGGCTATACGGTTAGGATGGTCCTGTCCTCCGATGGCTGGACTTTTCATTCCAGCACCTATACCTTCCCTGAAAAGAACCCAGTACCTATTGGGGTCCAAATTACCCCTCCCCCACCCTGCAGCCACTTATTCATGTCTCCAGATTTCCTATTCTCTATTTGCTTTTTATCTAAATGTTTTGTCCTTTGTTGTAGGTATTAAATGTATCCTTAATTTATCAGCTGTATTTAGAATCACTATTGTCTAGTTGAGAGGAATGTGTGAGATTTACCATAATCTAACTTATGCCCTTTCCTGTAACGGAAAATGTAGCCACCTGTAATGCATTATGTGCATTTCTAACATCACTGCATTCTGTAAAGCGGGCACTGCAGACCACACAGAGGTATCTGCAGGTCACGTGGGAGATCATGTCATAAAAGTCATCCAATTCATTTGAGATAAAATTGTTGGCAAGATGGATGGTAGTCCTTGCAGATCCCTAAGCTACCTTTTATAATAATAAAAGTGTAATATGCTAATTAGACCTGACAGCCGAACGACCTTCCTACTGGACAAAGCTGGGGCTGTCGAATTCCATGCCTCGGGCCTCTGGTAAAGCTGTAATGACCAACGTAGTGTGGTTGGACACGGGAGTGGCGGGACGTATCAGTGGAATAGAATGAAAGGGACGGAATGTAACTAGGACTTCTTCCCGGGCCGGGAGGAAGGCAGAGAGCTGTCCTTCCCTCCTGGTCATAGAGGATTTGTACGCCCTCAGAACGTGTCTCAGAGGTGTACAAAAGGTACCATTTCTCCCTCAGGCTGTCTAAACGAAAGCCACAAAAATGTGAATCAACAAAGACACAAGAAACTAGTGTTTCTTTTAGGAAAGGGACTCAAAGCTTTTTCGCTCTGTTTGTTTACTTTTGTCACGAAAACATTTTGGTGCTTTGTAATTAATTACAAATGTAGTGTCATCATATGGGCTACTTCTTAGGGTTGAGGCTGGATGGTGAGGACTGAGTGATGGGCAGTTGCAGGGAGGTTCGAGTGCTTTTAAATCCATTCTGTTTCTCTTAAAAACAAGCAGAACTTTCCCCCTAAAACAGTGCTTTTTTCTCTTGCAGTAAATCCAAAGAAAGATAGCGAGAACACGCCTGTGAAAGGAGGAACTGTTGCTGACCTAGGTAAAAACAAAACCCGCCCTTCTGTAGTGTTTCCTGTCTTAACTCAGCGCCTCGATGGCTGTCTTTATTGGGGAGGTTGCTTTCAGCCGCGATAGTTTCCAGCAGATGCCGACTGCGTTCCTGGAGCAGCATGGTGGTGGGTTTGCTACCGTGTGAGGGACATTGGTTTTCTGTGACCCATTCTTCTGTCTTTAATCCTGATAATTGTGTCCTGATATTTTACATAAGTCAGAATTTCTGAGCTTTAAAGAAATTGTTGGTAGTTAAATTACTTGCAATGCCTTAGTTACTGCTAACGATGATAGTAATTACCGTATTTTTCGGACCATAAGACGCACTTTTTTTCCCCCAGAAGTGGGGGGGAGAAGTCCCTGCGTCTTATGGTCCAAATATAGCCTACACATATACTTTTTTAAAAAAATGTTTTTTTACTTGCCCGGCTCTGTGTGGTCTCTGTGTGCTTGCCCGGCTCTAAAATGGTTCTAAATGCTGCTGTTTACTTTACAGGGTTGATTACATGTGTTTATGACTGATGTTGGGTTTTAATGCACATAAAATATTTTAGGACACTATTTGTTTCAGAATCTTTTTTTCTTCATTTCCCTTCTCTAAAAACTGGTGCGTCTTATGGTCCGAAAAATACGGTAAAAAGAAAACGTTACTGAAACTTAATGTTTGTGCCAGAATCTCTCCCCTTTATCACTGTGGCACTTCTCTTGCCCGTGGGAGTCGGCCGCCTGGTTTAATTGTGCGTGGGTTTGCTCGCGTCCTGGGCGGCTCCGAGTGCCTGCATCCCCTCCCTCAGAAGGAACCGACCCTCTTAGGGGCTTGGTCTGTGGGGAGTGAGCGTAACTGCTTTGTTCACTCCTCATTCCTTACACACTGCCTCCCGGACCCGGAACGCCATTACTTACTTCACGGCCTCAGGAGGGAAGAGGCTAGTCACTCCCCTGTCCCATTAAGTAAGATCATGACCAGCAGTAATTAATCATGAATTCCCTCATGTTGGAAATTTTTAATTATGCTTTGAATTTCTCCTCACCTCTGTGCTTCTGTGGACCACTGTCACTCACTGAGTGGTCTGAGGCGGGTTTGCTTTAGTTCTCTATTCTCTTCTTTGTCCAGTGTCAGTTACTGAAACCTGAACTTTGCAAGAAGTGCAAGCAGCTTGCTGCTCTTTACATAAGGGTGTGTTTTGGTTTTACAGATGAGCAGGATGAAGAAGCAGTCACAACAGGACTAAAGGTAACGGTCGGCTCGGTCCTTAGAAATACTCTGTTTTGAGGCCCTTATGATTTAAATGTCTTCTTTAACAAATCCCCCCAATTAATTTGTGCTTCTTGACCCCAAAATTTTACCAAAAGGAAATTTCCATCTTCTCAGCAGTGTCCCTGGGGAAGCCATGTGTTTAGGTGGAGTCACTTGAGAGGCTCCTAGTTTATTTCTGGTACAAATCAGCGTTGTGGTGGAGGGGCGGGGTGTCGGCCCTGGAGTTTCTGTGGTTCCAGCTCGTTGGCACTGCATGACTGTCTCACCGAGACAGGGAGGACAGCACTGCTGCCCCTGCGGGAGGCAGTGAGATCTGCACAGCAGGTCCCAGGGCTCCGCCTCGGGGATGGGAGCCTTGTCATTGTGCCTTCCTCGTGTCCTGGAGGCCGCTCCTTACCAGTAACTTGGGAGCTATTAGCTTAGGCTTGGGTTCCGGTCCCGGTGAAGCGTAAACCTGGACAGTAAGAGCACGCTGTGGAGACATGTGGGCAGGGAGCCACAACCTCACTAGAGAATCCGTGTCCGTTCACCAGCCTGAGGCTGAGCCGAGCTTTGGGCACGTCCCTGTGTGTGCGATTCCCGCGGAGGAAGGCAGGCGTGCTCTGCGCTGTCTCCTGGCAGCTCGCGAGGTGCCTCAGATTGCGAAAGCCTGTCCACTGGAGTTCACTTGCCTGGTCCTTGAAATGGGAGCAAATAGCTTCCTTTATTGGACTTGATGTGAGCGTTTAAAAGCTACTCAGTCTCACATTAGTCTCTTTCTCTTCACTGGCTTCTTTTCTGTAGGAAGATGACGACCCCAGCAAAGGCGATCCAAGTCGGTCGGTGGACCCTGGCGAAGATAACGTGACAGAGCAGACCAATCACATCATCATTCCTAGCTACGCATCCTGGTTTGATTACAACTGGTGAGGAGCCCTCCCTCTGTGGACGGGGTGCTTAGGATGGGCAAGCGTTCCTGAAATCTGGGGAACAGCGTCGGGGAGAGTCAACCAAAAAAGGCTGTGGTGCCTTTCCACAATGGGACACCTTTGGTGATGATGGTGGTGGGCCTGGAGAGCACTGTGCTATGTGAAATAGGGCACCAGAGGAAGACGAGGACCATAGGATCTCACTTATCTGTGGGACGGTGAACAAGTAGAAACAGACCGACAGGTACAGAGAACAGACTGGCAGCTGTCAGAGAGGAGGGAGTGGGGGGCTGGGTGGAAAAGGTGCAGGGATTAAGAAAAAAACAAACACCTCACAGACGACCACAGTAGGTGACTTCCAGAGGTGGTGGGAGGAGAGGGGACGGCTAGGAGGTGGTCGTGGGAGTGAACACACAGTACACGATACAGATGGGAGAACTGTACCCTGAAACCTGTCATCTTGTTAACCAGTGTCACCCCAATAGAGCAATAAAATAAGTCAGTAAGAAAAAATATAGAGGTTCTATGATCTTTTTAAAAGCAGTAAACTCTTAAATAACCTCTAACTTCAACTCACCAGAGTTTCTGAGGGCTGGACAGATGGTGCGGGATGGAGATCCTGAGGGCCTGATTAGAGTGAAGTCCATTGTGTGGCCCATCATGCGTTTACCAGTTTGTTGCATGCCAACTGCGGTGATTTTTGTCACCCAATTTCCGGAGAACTCTGTCTTGTAACTCATCTAGTTGTGCTGTATGTGACGCACAGTGACGTCTGTGGCTTCGCTATGTGGGAGCAGTTTTTGGTTTGGTTCTAGGAACAGAAAGACTGCAGAAAGGACGGGTGAGGAAGGGGGCGCTGCCCTTAATCCTCTGACACAGCGCAGGCGCTGGGCGCAGACGGGCACAGATGCTTTTAGATGTGTCAGTTTGGCTTTGAAAGGTAAGCTTAGCTCGCGGTTTGAGATTTTTCTTTTTCAGAGAATTTACTCCCAGTCTCTCTTCTTTTTCTGTTCAGTATTCACGTGATCGAACGGCGTGCGCTTCCTGAGTTTTTCAATGGAAAGAACAAGTCCAAGACTCCAGAGATGTGAGTGACATGAGTTGATGGGGTGTT